GACGACGATAACAACGATTTGTAACGATGATGATGATGATAACAGCGACTTGTAAAGATGATGATGATGATGACGATGACGATGATGACGACGATAACAGCGATTTGTAACGATGATGATGATGATAATGACGACGATAACAACGATTTGTAACGTCGATGATGATGACGACAATGATGATGACGACGATAACAACGATTTGTAACGTCGATGATGATGATGACGACGACGACGATGATGTTAACGATTTGTAACGACGATGATGACAACGATGGCCATGATGATGACGATGATGATGACGACGATGATGATGATGACGACGATAACAACGATTTGTAACGATGATGATGATGACGACAATGATGATGACGACGATAACAACGATTTGTAACGTCGATGATGATGACGACGACGACGACGATGATGTTAACGATTTGTAACGACGATGATGACAACGATGGCCATGATGATGACGATGATGATGACGACGATGATGATGATGACGACGATAACAGCGATTTGTAACGATGAAGATGATGACGACGATAACAACGATTTGTAACGTCGATGATGATGATGACGACGACGACGATGATGTTAACGATTTGTAACGACGATGATGACAACGATGGCCATGATGATGACGATGATGATGATGATGATGACGACGATGATGATGATGACGACGATAACAGCGATTTGTAACGATTATGATGATGACGACGATAACAACGATTTGTAACGATTATGATGATGACGACGATAACAACGATTTGTAACGTCGATGATGATCATGACGACGACGATGATGATAACAATTTGTAACGCTAATGATGATGACGACGATGATTATGATGACGATAACAACGATTTGTTACGATGATGATGATGATGACGGCGATAACAGAGATGTGTAACGTCGATGATGATGACGACAATGATGATGACGACGATAACAACGATTTGTAACGTCGATGATGATGACGACGACGACGACGATGATGTTAACGATTTGTAACGACGATGATGACAACGATGGCCATGATGATGACGATGATGATGATGACGATGATGACGGATAGCACGGGCACCACGCGTAGCGTGCAGTGCGGCCTACCACAAGGGGGAGAGCGTCAGCCCAGGGACAGGGTTTGTCCGGGGCCGTGGCACGCTGGTTTGACCCCGCAGACACGTGATCCGGAGTGTCCACAGAGAAGTGGGGAGGTGGGGGGGGGGAGCTAGGGGGGTGATCACGTGTCCTGGGAGAGCTCTCGAGAGGGATCGAGGGGGAGCTGGAATGCTCCAGAAGGCGGGCGGGGCACAGGGGCGGAGCGGCCTCGACCGTAGGGGGATATAAGGCAGGTCCCTGAGGCAGACGGGGTCCCTGCATTCTACAAGCAGAAGCCCCACTTCCACCAGCTGAAGCTCTACATGCCAAGCAGAAGCTTCACGTCCACCAGCTGAAGCTCTACATCTCAAGCTGGAAGCTCCACAACCACCAGCTGAAGCTCTACATGCCAAGCTGAAGCTCCACGTCCAACAGCTGAAGTTCTACATCTCAAGCAGAAGCTCCACAACCACCAGCTGAAGCTCTACATGCCAAGCAGAAGCTCCACGTCCACCAGCTGAAGCTCTACATCTCAAACAGAAGCTCCACGTCCACCAGCTGAGGCTCTACATCTCAAGCTGGAAGCTCCACAACCACCAGCTGAAGCTCTACATGCCAAGCTGAAGCTCCACGTCCAACAGCTGAAGCTCTACATCTCAAGCTGGAAGCTCCACGTCCAACAGCTGAAGCTCTACATCTCAAGCTGGAAGCTCCACGTCCACCAACTGAAGCTCTACATCTCGAGCAGAAGCTCCACGTCCACCAGCTGAAGCTCTACATCTCAAGCAGAAGCTCCACGTCCACCAGCTGAAGTTCTACATCTCAAGCTGAAGCTCCACGTCCACCAGCTGAAGCTCTACATCTCAAGCAGAAGCCACACGTCCACCAGCTGAAGTTCTACATCTCAAGCAGAAGCTCCACGTCCACCAGCTGAAGCTCTACAGTTCAAGCAGAAGCTCCACATCCAACAACTGAAGCTCTACATCTCAAGCTGGAAGCTCCACGTCCACCAGCTGAAGTTCTACATCTCAAGCTGGAAGCTCCACAACCACCAGCTGAAGCTCTACATCTCAAGCAGAAGCTCCACGTCCACCAGCTGAAGCTCTACATCTCAAGCTGGAAGCTCCACAACCACCAGCTGAAGCTCTACATCTCAAGCTGAAGCTCCACGTCCACCAGCTGAAGCACTACATCTCAAGCAGAAGCTCCACGTCCACCAGCTGAAGTTCTACATCTCAAGCTGGAAGCTCCACGTCCACCAGCTGAAGCTCTACATCTCAAGCACAAGCTCCACGTCCACCAGCTGAAGCTCTACATCTCAAACAGAAGCTCCACGTCCACCAGCTGAAGTTCTACATCTCAAGCAGAAGCTCCACGTCCACCAGCTGAAGTTCTACATCTCAAGCTGGAAGCTCCACGTCCACCAGCTGAAGTTCTACATCTCAAGCTGAAGCCACACGTCCACCAGCTGAAGCTCTACATCTCAAGCAGAAGCTCCACGTCCACCAGCTGAAGTTCTACATCTCAAGCTGGAAGCTCCACGTCCACCAGCTGAAGTTCTACATCTCAAGCTGGAAGCTCCACGTCCACCAGCTGAGGTTCTACATCTCAAGCTGGAAGCTCTACGTCCTAGGAGGTAAACACGTGGTCACGGACCCGGGTGAGGGCCCGACCCTTCGTATCAGTAAGTGTAGTGTAGTAGTGTATAGTGCAGTGTTTTGTGTAGTATATTGCCGCGTATAATGTAGTGTAAAGTAGTGTATCATGTAGTGTATAGTGGAGGGTAGTGTATAGTGCTGTGCATAGAGTAGTATATAGTAGTGTATAGTGTAGTGTATATTAGTGTATAGTGGGGTGAATAGTATAGTGTATAGTGTAGTGTATAGTGTAGTGTAAAGTAGTTATAGTAATAGGTTTTACCCTTTTAACTGGCACAAAAACTGACACCTTTATTCAAGGCATCATGTTTGCAATAACCACAACACAAGCAGTCAAAATGCCAACAAAAGAGACAACTCTGTCCTTGAATTTGATTGGACCAATCAAATTCAAGGACAGTGCCAATATCATTATCAGAGTTGTCTCTTTTGTTTGCATTTTGACTGCCTGTGTTGTGGTTATTGCAAACATGATGCCTTGAATAAAGGTGTCAGTTTTTTGTGCCAGTTAAAAGGGTAACACCTATTACTATATCTTCTTACTGGAAAAGGAGGTCTCATAATACAAAGTAGTTGTTGCACGTTAATGCCCGTGCTTACTTTGCCGTTTCAATTTTTTTTTACCTTCTAAAGAAAATCTGGCCATGTCTCGCACACCTCCGAGTGAAGAACCACTGGGTTAGCTTTTACCCCCTCCCCATCACTAACCCCCAACCAAATGCATCCAGTGGTACAGCCCACGATTGCCCCTGTGTATGTAGGGCGAGGGCGAGGGCGCGGGGGGGGGTCACCTTGTACTCCTGGATTATTCCATTGTGGTGCTCTGCCGGTGGGGGATCCCAGGACACGCGGATGCTTGTGACGTTGGCGCTGCCGTGCGTGGTGATGGACACGCCCTGGGGTGGCGCGCTGGGTGCTACAAAGACAAACACAAAGGTCCACCCCCGTATAGCCTTTAGCGGACTGTTGGGGCGAGTGCTGTTAGCGAGTAGCAGCAGCGCCTATGAAGGCTTACGGCACTGTGGTGGGTGGGTGAGTGGGGGGGGGGGGGGGGATGGGGGCTACACACAAAAGACAAAGATCCCCCGTATAGCCTCTGACAGACTTGTTGGGGCAAGTGCTGTTAGCGAGCACCTATGAAGGCCGAAACGGTACACGAGGGGGGTGGGTGGCCAGCACCACGCCCGACTGCCTTTGTCTCCCCAGTGGCGATGTTTACACACCGCAGCAGGTACTCATTTCAGGCTGAGTCAACCTAGGGGAGGCCCAGGACCGGTTCAGATAATCGTCACTGGTGTTGGCCGTGAGCGGGAATCGACCTCGGGTAGCCAGGGTCACAGCGCAGCGTAGCGCTAACCGCTGCACCACCGCTCCCCACACACACATATACACACACATATACACACACATACACACACACACATATACACACACCACACACACACACAACACACACAAAGACAAAGGTCCACCGGATAGGCTCGAGAAGACTTCGCACCTGAGAGGCTCACAGTTAGTGCCGAAGTCGTAACCAATCGGCACGCTTTTCTTTATGTGACAAACCTTTACCAAATTGGCCATCGGCCATGTGTCAGGTGGTGGTGGCGGTGGCGGGGAGCGGTGGTGCAGCGGTTAGCGCTACGCTGCGCTTAGAACCCGGCGACCCGTGTTTGACTCCCCGCTCACGGTCAACACCCGGTGACGATTATCTGACCCGGTCCTGGGCCTCCCCTAGGTCGACTCAGCCTCAAATGAGTACCTGGTGCGGTGTGTAGTAAACATCGCCACCGGGAAAGACAAAGGCGGCCGGGCGTGGTGCTCGCCACCCACCCCCTCGTGTGCCATGCCGGCCTTCGTAGGTGCTGCTACTCGCTAACAGCACTTGCCCCTACGGTCTGTTAAGGCTGCACGGGGGATCTTTGTCTGTTGGTGGCGGATTTAACGACGCATCTATATTTCACGTGGTCTCTAAAGCCGCACAAAAAGATTGACTCCGCTCTCCGCTCGATTGCTGCGCTCTAACGGCAAACGATGGCTCGGAGATGTTAACCACCTCGCCCGCTATACAGGAAGCCGTGGGTTCGATCCTGACCTTGATTTGCGGTGTGTGTTTCTCTCCCTCTCTCTCTCACTGCTCGTGGTCGCGTGGATTTATTTTCTCCCGGGACCTCCGTTTTTATTTCCACCTCCCCAAATTTAGAAATCAACGTCGCGCGTTTAAGGCTGTGTTTGGCTGCCGCTATACGTTTCCAAGTGACGAGCCGCTAAGTTGAACGGCAATCGTTTGTGACGGGCAGGGTGGCTTCTGAGAAAAGTTCGACATAGCAGCTCAGTGGGGCCTCCGTACACCTGATAACAATAAAAATAGCCTCGTAGTTTTTTGTTGTTATTTTTTTTTACCAACAATTGTACGCTTTGTGCGTCGAACTTCTTTCGCTCCGCCTACGTAGCCAACCGCGCTCATCGCAGGTGCAATTTCCCAAGCTCTGCGGTCCCCCATGTACGGGGGACTACTCTAATAACAAACATTCGACTAATGAACTTTCAGAGATACGAACAAAAACGGACCAAGAGTCGTAAGTTTAACTGTCGCGCAATAGATGGCGGTGTTGGCATCTACATCTGTAGAACCTGAAGAACCAGTGGCATCTACATCTGTAGAACGCAAAGAACCAGTGGCATCTACATCTGTAGAACACGAAGAACCAGTGGCATCTACATCTATAGAACGTGAAGAACCAGTGGCATCTACATCTGCAGAACGTGAAGAACCAGTGGCATCTACATCTGCAGAACGTGAAGAACCAGTGGCATCTACATCTGTAGAACGCGAAGAACCAGTGGCATCTACATCTATAGAACGTGAAGAACCAGTGGCATCTACATCTGCAGAACGTGAAGAACCAGTGGCATCTACATCTGCAGAACGTGAACAACCAGTGGCATCTACATCTGTAGAACGTGAAGAACCAGTGGCATCTACATCTGTAGAACGTGAAGAACCAGTGACATCTACATCGGGAGAACGTGAAGAACCAGTGGGATCTACATCTGCAGAACGTGATGAACCAGTGGCATCTACATCTGTAGAACGTGAAGAACCAGTGGCATCTACATCTGTAGAACGTGAAGAACCAGTGCCATCTACATCTGCAGAACATGAAGAACCAGTGGCATCTACATCTGCAGAAAGTGAAGAACCAGTGGCATCTACATCTGCAGAACATGAAGAACCAGTGGCATCTACATCTGCAGATCGTGAAGAACCAGTGGCATCTACTTCTGCAGATCGTGAAGAACCAGTGGTATCTACATCTGCAGAACGTGAAGAACCAGTGGCATCTACATCTGCAGAACATGAAGAACCAGTGGCATCTACATCTACAGAACGTGAAAAACCAGTGCCATCTACATCTACAGAACGTGAAGAACCAATGGCATCTACATCTATAGAACGTGAAGAACCAGTGGCATTTACATCTACAGAACGTGAAGAACCAGTGGCTTCTACATCTGCAGAACGTGAAGAACTAGTGGCATCTACATCTGCAGAAAGTGAAGAACCAGTGCCATCTACATCTGCAGAACGTGAAGAACCAGTGGCATCTACATCTGGAGAAAGTGAAGAACCAGTGGCATATACATCTGCAGAACGTGAAGAACCAGTGGCATCTACATCTGCAGAACATGAAGAACCAGTGTCATCTACATCTGCAGAACGTGAAGAACCAGCGGCATCTACATCTGCAGAACGTGAACAACCAGTGGCATCTTCATCTGCAGAAAGTGAAGAACCAGTGGCATCTACATCTGCAGAACATGAAGAACAAGTGTCATCTACATCTGCAGAACGTGAAGAACCAGTGGCATCTACATCTGCAGAACATGAAGAACCAGTGACATCTACATCCACAAAACGTGAAGAACCAGTGGCATCTACAGAACATGAAGAACCAGTGGCATCTACATCTGCAGAATGTGAAGAACCAGTGGCATCTACATCTGCAGAACATGACGAACCAGTGGCATCTACATCTGCTGAACGTGAAGAACCAGTGGCTTCTACATCTGTATAACGTGAAGAACCAGTGGTATCTACATCTACAGAACGTGAAGAACCAGTGGCATCTACATCTGCAGATCGTGAAGAACCAGTAGTATCTACATCTGCAGAATGTGAAGAACCAGTGGCATCTACATCTGCAGAACGTGAAGAACCAGTGCCATCTACATCTGCAGAACATGAAGAACCAGTGGCATATACATCTGCAGGAGATTGTGCAACTTTAAACGCCATTCCCCATGTTTAGTGTACACGCCGTACACCACGCGTTTGGAATCGACAGGAGTCAAGTTGGAACGCAATCCCTCTGGCATCCAACTCACTCGTAAGTAGAGGAGTCGCCGCATTAAGGAAACTACCTCTAGCCCCTCCCCCATCCCTCCCCCCCCCCCCGCATTACCCCCCCCCCTCACCCTCCTCGGGGGTCCTCGCTTGCCGCGTCTCGCTGTCCGTGCCGAGGAGTTCGGCGAAAAACGGCCGCAGCTTCACCTCGTAGAGTGACCCCTTGCGGAGGGAGCCCAGCAGGGCCACCCGCTCGAGTGGCGAGCGCACCTCGAGCACCTGCCAGGGCCCACCGCCGCCACCGCCGCCACCGCCGGCACCGCTGCCACCGCCTGGTGGCGAGGCGAGGCGGTAGAGCAGGCGGTAGCCCTGCACGTACTGGGACGGGCGTTCAACCTGCAGAGGGAGACAGTGGTGGTGGGTGAGTGGGTGAGTCGGTGAGTGGGTGAGTGAGTGAGTGGGTGAGTGAGTGGGTGGGTGAGTGGGTGGGTGGGTGAGTGAGTGAGTGAGTAAGTAAGTGAGTGAGTGAGTGGGTAAGTGGGTGAGTGAGTGAGTGAGTGGATGAGTTGGTGGGTGAGTGAATGAGTGGGTCTGTGAGTGGGTGAGTGAGTGAGTGAGTAAGTAAGTGAGTGAGTGGGTGAGTGGGTGAGTGAGTGAGTGAGTGGATGAGTTGGTGGGTGAGTGAATGAGTGAGTGGGTGAGTGGGTGAGTGGGTGAGTGAGTGGGTGAGTGAGTGAGTAAGTGAGTGAGTGAGTGGGTGAGTGAGTAAGTGAGTGAGTGAGTGAGTGGGTGAGTGAGTGAGTGAGTGAGTGGGTGAGTGAGTGAGTAAGTGAGTGAGTGAGTGGGTGAGTGAGTGGGTGAGTGAGTGAGTGAGTGGGGTGAGTGAGTGGGTGAGTACTCACCGTCCAGGTGAGCTGCAGGCTGGTCGAGGTGAGTGCGCTGGGTGAGTGGAGCCGGACGGCGACGTCCGAGAGGTCTCGCTGCACCTGGCGGTGATCGACGCCCAGCGATGGTGGCGGCGCGTCTGGCCGTGATGACATCACCATCGACATCACCGTCAACATCACCACTGCTCATCAGCAATGTATGCAAACCATCAGTCCCTCTGTCAGTCCATCAGTCCGTAGGTGCATCGGTCCATCCATTAGGCTGACGGTACCATCGTTCGTCCATTCCATCGTCCATTGTCCGTACCATCACGTGTCTACACCATCACGTGTCCATACCATCACGTGTCTGTACCATCACGTGTCTACACCATCACGTGTCTGTACCATAACGTGTGATACCATCACGTGTCTGTACCATCACGTGTCTGTACCATCACCTGTCTACACCATCACGTGTCTGTACCATCACGTGTCTGTACCATCACGTGTCTACACCATCACGTGTCCGCACCATCACGTGTCCATACCATCACGTGTCTGTACCATCACGTGTGTACACCATCACGTGTCTACACCATCACGTGTCAGCACCATCACGTGTCCGCACCATCACGTGTCTACACCCTCACGTGTCCGTACCATCACGTGTCTGTACCATCACGTGTCTGTACCATCACGTGTCTGTACCATCACGTGTCCGTACCATCACGTGTCCACACCATCACGTGTCCGTACCATCACGTGTCCATACCATCACGTGTCCGTACCATCACGTGTCTACACCATCACGTGTCCATACCATCACGTGTCTGTACCATCACGTGTCTACACCATCACGTGTCCGTACCATCACGTGTCCACACCATCACGTGTCCGTACCATCACGTGTCTACACCATCAAGTGTCCATACCATCACGTGTCCGTACCATCACGTGTCTACACCATCACGTGTCCGTACCATCACGTGTCCACACCATCACGTGTCCGTACCATCACGTGTCCATACCATCACGTGTCCGTACCATCACGTGTCCGTACCATCACGTGTCTACACCATCACGTGTCTGCACCATCACGTGTCTACACCATCACGTGTCCATACCACCACGTGTCTACACCATCACGTGTCTACACCATCACGTGTCCGTACCATCACGTGTCTACACCATCACGTGTCCGTACCATCACGTGTCTACACCATCACGTGTCCGTACCGTCACGTGTCTACACCATCACGTGTCCGTACCATCACGTGTCTACACCATCACGTGTCCGTACCATCACGTGTCCGTACCATCACGTGTCTGTACCATCACGTGTCCGCACCATCACGTGTCTGTACCATCACGTGTCCATACCATCACGTGTCCGTACCATCACGTGTCTACACCATCACGTGTCCGTACCATCACGTGTCCACACCATCACGTGTCCGTACCATCGTTCGTCTGCACCAGCAGTGCGTCCGCGTCGCCTGCCCACGGGCGCGCTCACCCGTCCGCTCGTCCCCACGAATCCGACAATCCGAGTGTCCACGTTGCCCCCGGGGTTTCAAACCGGCTGGCGAGTCGTCCGTCACGTGCGTCTCTGCCTCAGTGCGTGGGTCGTGACCCCCACCCCCCCCCCGACCCACGGCCTTCGACTCTGACCTTGCGTCCGGACGGGTGCGGAGGGAGGGCTGGGGTCGCTGAGGGCCGTTGGGAGCGGCGGCGCGCACCAGGAACAGGTACACGGTGTTTGGGCCGCAGGGCGGTGACGGCGTGCGAGCTGCCACGGACGCCCTCGGCCACCGTCTGCCACGTGTTGCTCACCGACTGGCTGGGGGGCACGGGGGGCACGGGGGGCACGGGGGGAGTGGGGGGAGGGGGGACGGAGAGTTAGAGACACGGGGGGGGACACGGGGAGTTAGAGACACGGGGACACGGGGAGTAAGAGACACGGGGTGTAAGAGACACGGGGACACGGGGAGTAAGAGACACGGGGACATGGGGAGTAAGAGACACGGGGAAACACGGGGAGTAAGAGACACAGAGACACGGGGAGTAAGAGACACGGGGACATGGGGAGTCAGAGACACGGGGAGTAAGAGACACGGGGAGACACGGGGAGTAAGAGACACGGGGACACGGGGAGTAAGAGACACGGGGAGTAAGAGACACGGGGACATGGAGAGTAAGAGACACGGGGAGTAAGAGACACGGGGAAACACGGGGAGTAAGAGACACAGAGACACGGGGAGTAAGAGACACGGGGAGTAAGAGAAACGGGGAGTGAGAGACACAGAGACACGGGGAGTAAGAGACACGGGGAGACACGGGGAGTAAGAGACACAGAGACACGGGGAGTAAGAGACACGGGGAGTAAGAGACACGGGGAGTAAGAGACACAGAGACACGGGGAGTAAGAGACACGGGGAGTGAGAGACACGTGGAGTGAGAGACACGTGGAGTGAGAGACACGTGGAGTGAGAGACACGGGGAGTGAGAGACATGGGGAGTGAGAGACACGTGGAGTGAGAGACACGTGGAGTGAGAGACATGGGGAGTGAGAGACACGGGGAGTGAGAGACACGTGGAGTGAGAGACACGGGGAGTGAGAGACATTGGGAGTGAGAGACACGGGGAGTGAGAGACACGTGGAGTGAGAGACACGGGGAGTGAGAGACACGGGGAGAGAGAGACACGGGGAGTGAGAGACACGTGGAGTGAGAGACATGGGGAGTGAGAGACACGTGGAGTGAGAGACACGTGGAGTGAGAGACACGGGGAGTGAGAGACATGGGGAGTGAGAGACATGGGGAGTGACAGACATGGGGAAATGGGGAGTGAGAGACACGGGGAGTGAGAGACACGGGGAGTGAGAGACACGTCGAGTGAGAGACACGTGAAGTGAGAGACACGGGGAGTGAGAGCACGGAGAGTGAGAGACACGGGGAGTGAGAGGCATAGGGAGTGAGAGACACGTGGAGTGAGAGACATGGGGAGTGAGAGACACGGGGAGTGAGAGACACGTGGAGTGAGAGACATGGGGAGTGAGAGACACGTGGAGTGAGAGGCACGGGGAGTGAGAGACACGTGGAGTGAGAGACACGGGGAGTGAGAGACACGGGGAGTGAGAGACATGGGGAGTGAGAGACACGGGGAGAGAGAGACATGGGGAGTGAGAGACACGTGGAGGGAGAGACACGGGGAGTGAGAGACATGGGGAGTGAGAGACATGGGGAGTGAGAGACACGGGGAGTGAGAGACACGGGGAGTGAGAGACACGTGGAGTGAGAGACACGTGGAGTGAGAGGCACGGGGAGTGAGAGACACGGGGAGTGAGAGACACGGGGAGTGAGAGACACGGGGAGTGAGAGACACGGGGAGTGAGAGACACGGGGAGTGAGAGACATGGGGAGTGAGAGACACGGGGAGTGAGAGACATGGGGAGTGAGAGACACGTGGAGTGAGAGACACGGGGAGTGAGAGACACGTGGAGTGAGAGACACGTGGAGTGAGAGACACGTGGAGTGAGAGAAATGGGGAGTGAGAGACACGGAGAGTGAGAGACACGTGGAGTGAGAGACACGTGGAGTGAGAGACACGGGGAGTGAGAGACATGGGGAGTGAGAGACACGTGGAGTGAGAGACATGGGGAGTGAGAGACACGGAGAGTGAGAGACACGTGGAGTGAGAGACACGTGGAGTGAGAGACACGTGGAGTGAGAGACACGGAGAGTGAGAGACACTTGGAGTGAGAGACACGTGGAGTGAGAGACACGTGGAGTGAGAGACACGGGGAGTGAGAGACACGGGGAGTGAGAGACACGGGGAGTGAGAGACACGGGGAGTGAGTGACACGGGGAGTGAGAGACACGGGGAGTGAGAGACATGGGGAGTGAGAGACACGTGGCGTGAGAGACACGTGGAGTGAGAGGACACGTGGCGTGAGAGACACGGGGAGTGAGAGACACGGGGACATGGGGAGTGAGAGACATGGGGAGTGAGAGACACGGGGAGTGAGAGACACGGGGAGTGAGAGACACGGGGAGTGAGAGACATGGGGACATGGGGAGTGAGAGACACGTGGCGTGAGAGACACGGGGAGTGAGAGACACGTGGAGTGAGAGACATGGGGAGTGAGAGACATGGGGAGTGAGAGACATGGGGACATGGGGAGTGAGAGACACGTGGAGTGAGAGACACGGGGAGTGAGAGACACGGGGAGTGAGAGTCACGGGGAGTGAGAGACACGGGGAGTGAGAGACACGGGGAGTGAGAGACACGGGGAGTGAGAGACACGTGGAGTGAGAGACACGGGGAGTGAGAGACATGGGGAGTGAGAGACACGGGGAGTGAGAGACACGTGGAGTGAGAGACACGTGGAGTGAGAGACACGGGGAGTGAGAAACACGTGGAGTGAGAGACACGTGGAGTGAGAGACACGGGGAGTGAGAGACACGTGGAGTGAGAGACACGGGGAGTGAGAGACATGGGGAGTGAGAGACACGTGGCGTGAGAGACACGTGGAGTGAGAGACACGTGGAGTGAGAGACACGGGGAGTGAGAGACACGTGGAGTGAGAGACACGGGGAGTGAGAGACACGTGGAGTGAGAGACACGGGGAGTGAGAGACACGGGGAGTGAGAGACACGGGGAGTGAGAGACACGTGGAGTGAGAGACACGGGGAGTGAGAGACATGGGGAGTGAGAGACACGTGGAGTGAGAGACACGTGGAGTGAGAGACACGTGGAGTGAGAGACATGGGGAGTGAGAGACACGTGGAGTGAGAGACATGGGGAGTGAGAGACACGGGGAGTGAGAGACACGGGGAGTGAGAGAACATGGGGATTGAGAGACATGGGGAGTGAGAGACACGGGGAGTGAGAGACACGGGGAGTGAGAAACACGGGGAGTGAGAGACACGTGGAGTGGGAGACATGGGGAGTGAGAGACATGGGGAGTGAGAGACACGTGGAGGGAGAGACATGGGGAGTGAGAGACACGGGGAGTGAGAGACACTTGGAGTGAGAGACACGTGGAGTGAGAGACACGTGGAGTGAGAGAGACATGGGGAGTGAGAGACACGGGGAGTGAGAGACATGGGGAGTGAGAGACATGGGGAGTGAGAGACACGTGGAGTGAGAGAGACATGGGGAGTGAGAGACACGGGGAGTGAGAGACATGGGGAGTGAGAGACACGTGGAGTGAGAGACACGGGGAGTGAGAGACACGGGGAGTGAGAGACACGTGGAGTGAGAGACACGGGGAGTGAGAGACATGGGGAGTGCAAGACATGGGGACATGGGGAGTGAGAGACACGGGGAGTGAGAGACATGGGGAGTGAGAGACACGTGGAGTGAGAGACACGGGGAGTGAGAGACACGTGGAGTGAGAGACATGGGGAGAGAGAGGCATGGGGAGTGAGAGACACGTGGAGTGAGAGACACGTGGAGTGAGAGACATGGGGAGTGGGAGACATGGGGAGTGAGAGACACGGGGAGTGAGAGACACGGGGAGTGAGAGACATGGGGAGTGAGAGACATGGGGAGTGAGAGACACGTGGAGTGAGAGAGACATGGGGAGTGAGAGACATGGGGAGTGAGAGACACGGGGAGTGAGAGACATGGGGAGTGAGAGACACGTGGAGTGAGAGACACGGGGAGTGAGAGACACGTGGAGTGAGAGACATGGGGAGAGAGAGACACGTGGAGTGAGAGACACGTGGAGTGAGAGAAATGGGGAGTGAGAGACACGTGGCGTGAGAGACATGGGGAGTGAGAGACACGTGGAGTGAGAGACACGTGGAGTGAGAGACATGGGGAGTGAGAGACACGGGGAGTGAGAGACACGTGGAGTGAGAGACATGGGGAGTGGGAGACATGGGGAGTGAGAGACACGGGGAGTGAGAGACACGTGGAGTGAGAGACACGGGGAGTGAGGGACACGTGGAGTGAGAGACACGGGGAGTGAGAGACACGTGGAGTGAGAGACACGGGGAGTGAGAGACACGGGGAGTGAGAGACACGGGGACATGGGGAGTGAGAGACATGGGGAGTGAGAGACATGGGGACATGGGGAGTGAGAGACACTTGGAGTGAGAGACACGTGGAGTGAGAGACATGGGGACATGGGGAGTGAGAGACACGGTGAGTGAGAGACATGGGGAGTGAGAGACACGGAGAGTGAGAGACACGGGGAGTGAGAGACACGTGGAGTGAGAGACATGGGGAGTGAGAGACACGGGGAGTGAGAGACACGTGGAGTGAGAGACACGGGGACATGGGGAGTGAAAGACATGGGGACGTGTGGAGTGAGAGACACGTGGAGTGAGAGACACGGGGAGTGAGAGACACGGGGAGTGAGAGACACGTGGAGTGAGAGACACGGGGAGTGAGAGACACGTGGAGTGAGAGACACGTGGATTGAGAGACACGGGGAGTGAGAGACACGGGGAGTGAGAGACACGGGGAGTGAGAGACACGGGGAGAGAGAGACACGTGGAGTGAGAGACACGGGGAGTGAGAGACACGGGGAGTGAGAGACACGGGGAGTGAGAGACACGGGGAGTGAGAGACACGGGGAGAGAGAGACATGGGGAGTGAGAGACACGGGGAGTGAGAGACACGGGGAGTGAGAGACACGGGGAGTCAGAGACATGGGGAGTGAGAGACATGGGGAGTGAGAGACACGTGGAGTGAGAGACACGGGGAGTGAGAGACACGGGGACATGGGGAGTGAGAGTCGTGGGGACGTGTGGATACTGGGATGAGAGGACACATGCATAACGAGCTCCCTTATAGGGTCACAGAGGGCATGACCCACGCATAATGAGCTTCCTTATATGGTCATAGTGGGTGTGGGTTATGCATAATGAGCTTCCTTATATGGTCAGAGGATGTGACCCACTCATAACCTGCTTCCTTATAGGGTCATAGAGGGCATGGCCCACTCATAACGAGCTTCCTTATAGGGTCATACAGGATGTGACCTTCTCATAACGAGCTTCCTTATAGGGTCAGAGAGGGCAATGACTCACTCCTAATGAGCTTCCTTATAGGGTCATACAGGATGTGACCTTCTCATAACGAGCTTCCCTATAGGGTCATAGAGGGCATGGCCCACTCATATAGAGCTTCCTTATAGGGTCATACAGGATGTGACTCACTCATAACGAGCTTCCTTATAGGGTCAGAGAGGGCAATGACTCACTCCTAATGAGCTTCCTTATAGGGTCATACAGGATGTGACCTCATAACGAGCTTCCTTATATGGTCAGAGAGGGCAATGACTCACTCCTAATGAGCTTCCTCATAGGGTCACAGAGGGCATGACCCATACGTACCGAGCTCCCTTATAAGATCGCGCCGGGGGGTGGGGAGGAGGGGGGGGAGGAGGGGGGGGGGGGGTGGAGGGGGGGGGGGGGGGAGGAGGGGGGGGGGGCGGCCCTCGTCACCTGAACGCCTCGACGATGAACGTGGAGGCGGGGCCGGTGCCCGGCGCGGGTTGCCACGACAACTGCACCGTCGTCTTGGTGACGTTGAGCACCTGCGGCTGGGATGGGGGGCCCGGGGGGGGCCCGGCCCCCCTGGGCTCGGCCTCCCGTAGCCCCCCGCTGTCCGCTGCACGCTCGCGGGTTAGCCGACAGGGTACAGCGGTTTGCGAGCGCCTATTAAGGCGGCGGCGGCGGCGGCGGTTACCGTTGTGTGATGCCCGGTCCACGGCATCGATCTGGCCCTGTCACCGCTACCATCACTACCACTATCAATACTCATATCACTACTCCTGTCACTACCACTATCACTACCCCCTATCACTACTATCACTACTCCTGTCACTACCACTATCACTACCCCCTATCACTACTCCTGTCACTACCACTATCACTACCTCCTATCACTACCTCTACCACTATCACTACTATCACTATCACTACCACTATCACTACCCCCTATCACTACTATCACTACTATCACTACTACTATCGCTACCCCTATCACTATCACTACCACTATCAATACTCATATCACTACTCCTGTCACTACCACTATCACTACCACTATCACTACCCCCTATCACTATCACTACCACTATCACTACCCCTATCACTACCTCTATCACTTTCACTACCCTTATCACTATCACTACCACTATCACTACCACTATCACTACCACTATCACTACCCCCTATCACTACTCCTATCACTACCTCTACCACTATCACTACCCCTATCACTGTCACTACCCCTATCACTATCACTACTATCACTACTCCTATCACTATCACTATTCCTATCACTATCACTACTCCTATCACTACCTCTACCACTATCACTGTCACTACCCCTATCACTATCACTACTCCTATCACTACCCCTATCACTACCCCTACCACTATCACTACCCCTATCACTATCACTACCCCTATCACTATCACTACCCCTATCACTATCACTACCCCTATCACTATCACTACCCCTATCACTATCACTACCCCTATCACTATCACTACCCCTATCACTATCACTACCCCTATCACTATCACTACCCCTACCACTATCACTACCCCTATCACTATCACTACCCCTATCACTATCACTACCCCTATCACTACCCCTATCACTATCACTACCCCTATCACTACTCCTATCACTACTCCTATCACTATCACTACTATCACTACCCCTATCACTATCACTACTCCTATCACTATCACTACTATCACTACTCCTATCACTATCACTACTCCTATCACTATCACTACTCCTATCACTACTCCTATCACTATCATTATTCCTATCACTACCACTATCACTACCCCTACCCATATCACTACCCCTATCACTACCACTACCCCTATCACTACCCCTATCACTACCCCTATCACTACCCCTATCACTACCCCTATCACTACCCATATCACTACCCCTACCACTATCACTACTCCTATCACTATCACTACCCCTATCACTATCACTACTCCTATCACTATCACTACCACTACCCCTACCACTACCCCTATCGCTACCCCTATCACTACCCCTATCACTACCCCCTATCACTACCCCTAACACTACCCCTACCACTACCCCTACCCATATCACTACCCCTATCACTACCACTACCCCTACCACTACCCCTATCGCTACCTCTATCACTACCCCTATCACTACCCCCTATCACTACCCCTATCACTACCCCTACCACTACCCCTACCCATATCACTACCCCTATCACTACCCCTATCACTACCCCTATCACTACCCCTATCACTACCCATTTCACTACCCCTACCACTATCACTACTCCTATCACTATCACTACCCCTATCACTATCACTACCCCTATCACTACCACTACCCATATCACTACCCCTATCACTACCCCCTATCACTACCGCTACCACTACCCCTATCACTACCCTTACCCATATCACTACCCCTATCGCTACCCCTATCGCTACCCCTATCGCTACCGCTATCGCTACCGCTATCGCTACCCCTATCACTATCACTA